ACATTTAATACAGAATCTTATCAACTGTATACTGATTTTGGAACACACCTGCATTTCAAAATTCAGACAACTGCATAGTTTCTTCTGGAGATGATTGTGTTCCAATTTATATATTAATTCAGGAAGTTATCAAAATAGAACCAACAAATTCTGTGCATCTGTGGATTTAAAGCATTAGAGGTATTAAATGATTTAGCATACATGCTTTGTTTCCCAGCAAAGTATTAAATATTTTTCCTCTGAATTAATAATTTTCTTGAAAAAAAAATCTTTTCATCATATTCTTTATTATACAGAAACACTGTACATTTATTTCAAAGCTATAGCAAAGTGAAAAGTTAAAAATAAAACCTGGAAGAAAGCAATGGCTGTAGCAAATCACTTCTACGTTGTGGTAAAAAAAATGTGGAAGTATCCATGTCATCATCAACAGTCAAACTGAGCTGGAATGAATTCTTAACTTTCTTATGCCTCTCAACAACTAGAAAGCCTCCCCAGTTGTTTTTTTTAATTTTACCTTTTTATTGTCCAAAAAAACATTTGAAAGAAATTTGGCAATTATCTACTCCAATCCATGCCCCAGGCAAGAATCCATTGCTGTAACAACTATTTCAAAGAGATTTCTTTTTTTCACTTGGTGCCAAGAAGGAACATGGAATAGAAACTCCTGTAGGGGATCAGAGGTTGCTCTGTATAAATACTGTAATGTTTTAACATCATTGTAGAAGGAAACTCTGGCAATAAACCTACTGATCATCCCACTAATCAGCGGAATTGATTCTGTTAATTGAATGGATAGACCGGTTATTGTCTGACTCCCTCACTGCTCATGTATATTGGTTCTGAAGCCTTATAGTCAGGGCAAAAGGACAGTCAATCTGGATAGAAAGAATAATAGTCCACCCAGATTATGCAAATTTCAAATTATTTTCATTATATAATACTGATCCGAATGCAAATCTCAGCTTAACACCTCCTATTTTACAAAATCCACCACTTCAGCTTTATTCACATGCATTGTTGATATGTAGACTGATCAATTTTGACCAAAGTTCTGCAGACTTTGGAAGGAACAGGTTTCTCTGTTATTTGTTATTTATTCGTTAAATTTGTACGCTGCCCATTTCTCTACTAAGCAACAGCACAGATTGTCCTTGAATTACAACAGGTCATTTAGTGATCGCTCACAGTTTCAACAGCCCTGAAAAAAAATGACTTATGATCATTTTTCACATGACAGCATCTCCATGGTCATATAGTCAAAATCCAGCCACTTGGCAACTGACTCGTATTTATGACAGTTGCAGTGTCCTGGGGTCACATGATCACCTTTTGCAACCTTCTGACAAGCAAAATCGACGGGAAGCCAGAATTCACTTAACAACTGTGTTACGAACTTAACACAACTGCAGCGATTCACTTTTAACAACTGTAGCAAGAACGGTCGTAAAATAGGATAAAACTCATTTAACAACTGCCTTGCTTAGCCACGGAAATGTTGTCCTCAATTGTATATAGACAACTACCAATATTGGTGTCCAAATCATAAATTTTGATTTACATACATGTAGAATGCTACTGTTATCTCATTCAAGTATCTCTTATGTCTCTGTTATCACAGTGCTTGACCCTTGACAAGTTTGAAGGCCTAGCTGATGAAACTGAGTTGATTCTTCACGCTCGCTCTCTTCTGGAGGAAAACAAATTCTGGGCTGCTGTTGTCTTTCTTGATGTGGATGCAAGGGCCGCTCAACTGCCACCTCACGTGAAATACAAGATACGCATGGATATTGATGCTGTGGAAAAAACAAACAAAATCCAAGATAGGTAAGGACAGCTTCTAATCTTTAGGCATGCAAGCAGAGCCTCATGAGATACCAGTGACTGGAGAGACAAAATAAATCAGAATTGCCAAGAGAAGTTCTCCCCCATCCTGTATATCTGTTGGATGTCCCCAGTCATCAAAGGGGTCTAACGAGAATTGCAATTTATCATATTTACAGGAAAGAAGGCTGGTAAATGTAAATGGATTATATATATAATAATTAACTACAGGCCAAAGTGTAACCTTTAGGTATCTCAAACAATGGTATGCTGGTAAATATAAAATGTTATCATGAGTGCATATACAGCCACTCAGAGAGAGAGAATGAGAAAGCACACGTACCATGACAAAGCATAATGCCTTTTTATTAGAACACAAATTCAGCCCTATGCATGGGAGTTACTTGGGAATAAACCTATCTGAACTCTCAGTGCTTCCACCTGACTTTTAAACAATTGAGCTTTAAAGTCCTTGAGCACATAGACATGAAAACTGCTTCTGCGAAAGTTGAGCACAGGATATATTTATAGCCTTTAAGTTGCCACAAGATTCCTCCTGTGTTCCAATAAAAGCTGATCTGATGATTTTATCTGTGAGATTTGATTTATGGTAGCCCCTTTGCTTGTCAGAACACTGATTCTGCAATTATTATGTAAGTGATAAAGGAAAATTGCATCTAAACCATTACTTCTAAACTCTTCAGCCCATAAAGTCTAATTGGACTGAATCAAAGATGATAGCACTTGGCTGTTTTTGTCAAAAGCTAAACTGATAAAAGATTCTGATGGAAGGCCATTGGGAAATCGCTGGATGGTCGACAAAACTGGAAAGTTGAAAAAAAACATTATTTATTTCTTTATTTGGTTTGTCAATTGCTTACAAGATAATAGGTATAAGTAAAAACATAGTTATGAATACATGGCTACATATAAGAAAAATAAAAGAAACAATAAGACAGGGATGGTAGGCACATTGGTGCGCTTATGCACGCCCCCTACAGGCCTCTTAGGAAAGGGGTGAGGTCAATAGTAGACAGTCTAAAGTTAAAGTTTTTGGGGTTTGGGGAAGGAACCACAGAGTCAGGTAGAGTATTTCAGACATAGACCACTCTGTTGCTGAAGTCGTACTTCCTGCAATCAAGTTTGGTACAATTAACCTTGAGCTTGTATCTATTGTTTACTCTTGTGTTGTTGTGGTTGAAGCTGAAGTATTCATTAACAGGTAGGACATTGCAATGTATGATTTTATATACTATATTTAGATTGGACTGAAGGCGGCATAGTTCTAGGTTTTCTAGGTCTAGAATTTCAAGTCTGGTGCATAAGGTATTCTGCAATGAGTCGAGGAGTGGAGAACTCTTCTTGTGAAATATATCTGGACTTTCTCAACTGTGTTAATATCAGATACGTAGTGTGGGTTCCAGACTGATGAGCTGTATTTGAGTATTGGTCTCGCAAATGTTTTGTATGCTGTAGTTCAGGGGTTCCCAACCTGGGGTGCTTGCACCCCCTGGGGGTGCGAGACGATATTCCAGGGGGTGCGAGAAAAGTCCAGGTAAATAATAGGATATTGGCTATATGTTGGCATTTTTATTTATTATTATTTCAGGGGGTGTGAGGTTCGAGTGAAATTTCTTTAGGGGTGCGGGGCGAAAAAAAGGTTGGAAACCACTGCTCTAGTTATTTGTGCAATATTACCAGAGAAAAAGCTACGTAGGATTAGGTTAACAACTCTTAACACCTTTTTGGCTATGTAGTTACAGTGGGCTCTAGCATTTAGATCATTATAGATGAGTACTCCAAGATCCTTGACAGAGTTTGGATCATCAGCAAGGTCTTGACTATTCAGCCTGTATTTTATTTTCTGATTTTTTTTGCCAATATGTAAGACAGAGCATTTATTTGTTGAGATTTGAAGTTGCCATTTGTTTGACCATTCTGATACATAGTCAAGATCTTTTTGAAGGGTAGCAGTATTTTCTGTGGTATTGAATAGCTTTACATCATCAGCGAAGAGAACGCAGTTGCTCTTAATATGATCACAGAGGTCATTTATGTAGAGTATGAAAAGAGTTGATCCCAGAACACTGCCTTGGGGGACACCACTGTTGACAGGTACAGAATTTGATAGGACACTCCCAATTTTGACCATTTGTTGTCTGTTTGACAGGAATGCTTCTATCCAGTTATGCAGGTGTCCAGAGATACCGTAAGATGCCGTAACATTCAACCTAGAAGAAGTGGATTACAACTCCATTAATCTGACAGTTTTTTCTTAAGGGCATGCTTTTTTCTATCACAGGCAACCAATGTGACAGGATTTGGATCTGGTTTTTAAACCTTGAATCAGTCTGTTCTAACAGGAAACCCAGGATATCAGTTAGATGTTCAGAAAGCTTTTTCATGCCTGTCTTTTGTCTTGCAAACACAGTGTGCAAAAACTAGGACTGCAGTCCAAGAAAATGGTTGGAATTTTTTGGTTCTCCGACAGCATCACAACCAGGATTGGGCCACTCTTGGCTTTTGTGAAAGGAAGAAAAGATACTGCAGCTGAGAGGCAACCAAACCATTAACATAGCATATAGTTTGTCCCTCAGAGTCTGATAACTGATACTTTCACCCTATCACAATCCCCACTAGTCTGAAGGCTAAATCTGTGCTTTGTAACTACAGGTACTGGGATCCTGGCCCAAGAGCTGACCCAGTGGATGATCTGCACTACATCTGGGGAGGGTTTGCTTATCTGCAAGATATGATTGAGCAAGGGATCATCAAAACCCAGACCCACGTTGATGTGCCTTCAGGGATATACCTGCAACAAATGCCCTATCCCTGCTTTGTAGATGATGTGTAAGTATGATCTGTGTCCAATAGCTAACTGTGTGGCTAGCACTAGACACATAGCACTCTTACAAATGACACTGTTTCTGCTTTTGATCATGCTAGAGATTTTAGAACATGACGCATTAGACAAATTCCCTGCCAAGGAAACAGGATTGTGTTAGTTAAATCTGAAATAAGAAATCTAGAACAAATAAATTATCATAACAATCTAACTACTTAAAATAGAAAACAACAGGAAGGCTTTTGGTTTAATACCACCTTTACTGCAAAAAATAAGTATTAATTCATTGCAAGGAAAGAATGGAGGAAAAGTTGCAAACTTATACCTGTTTTTCTCAACTCTTTTAACCAGGGAAAGTATTCAGTTCATTTTCAAAAATGAAAAAAAGAATATAGGTGTGTTGAAAGGCTTGTTACTCTCCGCCACAACATTAGAATGCAGGATCGTTCAATGATGTTGAGTAATGCAAGGTTCAGGTCAGGCTAGAACAAAGAAACAAAGAAGGTGTTTTTCATGCAATACCTATTTATGCCATGATGCTAGTGATTATTCTCTCTTCTAATAAAAATGGATAATTTTTCAGTACCAATTCTCTGGATGTGAGCAAGTTAATATTTTAAATATAAAGTCCATTTATCTTCAGGGGAATAATAGAAATAATCATCATCACCACCAGTCAGTTGCAAAAGGAAACTTTACTTGGAATAGCTTACATCATGTAATGATTCCTTTAATATCAAGCAACATCATCTGCCTATCATAGGGCTTCATAGGTGAATAAATTGCCAACTCCAGTCTCAATAGCTGGTTGACTGTGCAATGAACCATACAAATAAGATTTTTATCCCTCCTCAATGCAAGGTGGAAAACCTACCTAATACCATTACCTGCTATTTTTCCCGCAACAACAACCCTGTGGGATGGGTTGGGCTGGAGAGAGTGAATGAGCCTAAGTCATCCAGGGGTTTCATGTCTAAGGGAGGCCTAGAACTCACCATATCTGGTTTCTAACCAACACCTTCACCATTACACCAAACTGACTCTTTAATTAAAAGGTAACCAAGGCCATTATTAAAATACTTACCTCTTCCAGCACACCTCTTATTACCAGTAACTTGTTAAAAACTTGTGCTCTAAAACAACTAATCCTTTACTCTGTTTCTGGCTAACATTTGGGATATGATAAAAATAGTTTATTTATTTTTAGTTTATTTGATTTGTCAATTGCTTACAAGATAATAGGTATAAGTATAAACATAGTTATGAATACAACATACATATAAGAAAAATAAAAGAAACAATAGGACAGGAACGGTAGGCACGTTGGTGCACTTATGCATGCCCCCTACAGACTTCTTAGGAAAGGGGTGAGGTTAATAGTAGATAGTCTAAGGTTAAAGTTTTTGGGGTTTGGGGAAGAAACCACAGAATCAGATAGAGTATTCCAGACATTGATCACTCTGTTGCTGGTCGTATTTCCTGCAATCAAGTTTCGTGTGATTAACCTTGAGCTTGTATCTATTGTTTACTCTTGTATTGTTGTGGTTGAAGCTGAAGTATTCATTGACAGGTAGGACATTGCAATGTATGATTTTTATATACCATACTTAGATTGGACTGAAGGCAGCGTAGTTCTAGGTTTTCTAGGTCTAGAATTTCAAGTCTGGTGGCATAAGGTATTCTGCAAAGAGTAGAGGAGTGGAGAACTCTTCTTGTGAAATATTTCTGGACTTTCTCTACTGTGTTAATATCAGATACATAATGTGGGTTTTTCAACTTTGTTCAATTTGTTCAAGGCTTTTCTCTACATCCCAATGTAGTGGAATGCAGTACAGGCCATGGGGCTTTACAAATCCCCTTTGCAAACCAGTGAGGCAGTCTCTTATGTTTTTCAATTTTTGGCCGGCGTATTTCAACACAGGAAATAAGACAGCCTTACCCAACCTACAGAATGTGTAGAAATGATAGAATCACCCATTAAGGATAGAATCACTCCTTAAGTCTGGTTAATAGCTGAGAGGCTATATAGTTCTACTATATCTCGGGCAACAAAACTGAGGTGTTAAGAGTGAAGCCAAGGGAATTTAAATCTCACCTCAGAGATTGTCTCTGTGAAAATACAGGATGGCTTTATGTTGCCCTGTATTTATTTTTTTCTTGTACTGCATTGAATATTATCCTAAAGAATGTTGCCCTAAATATTAAGAAACACAAAGAAATAAATAATGTGAATAGGGGTCTTACAACATTTGCAGTGTTTCATATGGCTTCTTCAAATTTCCAAACAATAAGCCATCCTGAGAATAGAATTTTATCAGGTTCAGTGGGTAAAAACTCAGGCAGAGGTCTGGTTCTCTCTTCCAAAGGCATCACATTCCTTTGATTTGTCATCAATCATCATCCTCAGGTCACTTCTCTACATGCCAAGAAGAGATCTCAAAGTTGTTTTAATTGGTTTTGCTCCATGCTAATACAGTAATGCCAAAATTCTTACATGAAAATGAGAAATATATAGCAAAAGCTTCACAGGGGGGAGTGGTTAAGGCAATGAATTAGGACTGTGAAACTCTGGAGTCCATCCCTAGCCATGGAAACTCACTGGGTGACCTGGGACTAACCTACTTCACAGGGTTTCTGTTGTAAATTCTCATGTTAAGACTCTCATATATTTCAGAGTATATGTGGTGGTATAATTGGATCAGTAGCTACAATAATTCAATACAACTTGACTTTTTGCTGTGCTGAAGAATCCCCCTCATTCCATAGTTAGACACAATATAAAACAGCTTTAATATAAAGATGAGGAAAAGGAGGATTCTAGATGCTATTCTTAAAAGTTGACTTACCAGCATGGTGAACAGAAACCTTCAGGTTGTCATTCCGCTTCCCTTCCAGATTGGGATTACGGTTCCCCAAATTCCAGCCAGAATAGGAAGGTACATGTTAGATAAAGCTGCATGATTGGGCAAGACCTATTTTCACGTGACATATTTCCCAATTATTTTGGAATAAGGTTTTGTATATTAAGACCATGATGTGAAAGCCTGTTTTGATTTATGAGACACACCATCCAATTGGCAGTTTCATAGTTTGACAAGTCCTTCCCTCTCTTTATGAAATTTGGCTTCACATTGTTTAAAAGGCATTTCTGAAGCAATAACCCTAGCTCCCTTCCCAGGAATCTCTCTGGAAAGAAGCCCCACTAAGCTCAATGGGATTTGCTCAGTGGAGTCCAGATACAGCTGTAGCAACAGTTCCAGAACAAATGTCACCAGAGCACCATTTTGTTGCAAAATAAATTCCTTCTCTGCCAGGAATTACATGACTTTGATTTATTTTCCAGAATACCCCATTTCTTAGTGATCTGACTTAACAGCTAAGGTGTTCCCTTTGTCTCTCTCTGCTTAATGCTATCCTGCTACGATCTTATCTTTAGCTCTGAATACAATGTTGCCCCATAGCTTCCTCCCAGGATAGCCAAAATAGAGATAATCCAATAAACACATGATGTGATTTATTTTTGTCTCTCTTCAATTGCTACCTCCTCCATATGGTGAATTGATTATATATCAGCATAGAGGCCTGGTGGCCAAGCAGGGGGCAGAAAGAGGTTGTATCCTTTGAGAAAAGCATAGGACTCTGATAGTAAGGCCTGGTCAGGTCACAGAATCAGAACATGAATGTGAGTAATGAAAAACATGTTTCTTAGGAGTTCCACAACAGTGACATTGTTTTGTTTTTGCAAAAGGCACTTTTTTCCAACTGCACGAGTGGTTCTTTTGGCCTTCCTCAAAAATGATGCCTCCCTCAAACCAAGCTCAATTTTGGGGACTACTGAGATGTGTCCATGATATTTCCTTTTAACAAAACAAGTGCCTTGGTATTGCTTTTTTGTTGTTGTTTTTCAGGATTTTCTTTTTCTTTTTCAGTCTAGCATGCAGCTAAGATGTTCTGGTGCAGTGTTTTGCAAACTTGGCAATTTTGAGATGTGTAGCCGAGGAGTCTCACACATCTTTCCAAGTTCAAGAAACACCACACTGGTGGCCTCTCACCAGTTCAGATTGCTTTCTCCTGTGTCAGCCTCTTTAGAAGAGTTTAAAATTGGCTCCCCCAAATGTTTGCCTGAGCCCTTGAAATCCTAAAATTTGCAACACTTTTGTTGCCTCTGCTAAGAAGAAATCTTTTAAAATAAAAATGACTAGAAATAGATGCAGTACATCCATCCAAACACATAGCCCACTGTTCAGGAAGCTCTACTGCCATATCCCCACACTGACTTGAAATTCTAGAATTTGTAAGCCAATACATCTGGACAGAAACTATCTGAGGAAGGCTTTAATAATATTTGGGTGCTCTTTCTTAGATCTTTCTATCAGGAAATAGCAATTTAACTCTCCAAAAAATTCAGGGGTGCCTTATTTAGACAGGACTCTCATGAGTTTTTTTTTTTTAATCTGTTTCCCAGCTGTTCTCAAACTACCAATCTGAGCCTTCCAGGAGAGGAAGATACCAGTAAGAGTAACTTAAGATATTCCTCCGTTACCTTTCAAAGCAAAGTTGTTTCTTTTCCCTATTTTCCCCTCCTTGCCTGGCAGCTTCATGATTACTTTGACTCGTGCCTTTCCCCTCTTCATGGTACTGGCTTGGATCTACTCCGCTTCCATGACGGTGAAAAGCATCGTGTTGGAGAAAGAAACGAGGCTGAAAGAGGCCCTGAAGAACAGAGGAGTCACCAACGGGGTGATTTGGTTCACGTGGTTTTTGGACAGTTTCCTCATGATGACCGTGAGCACGTTTCTCCTGACGGCGCTCATTACGGTAAGGGAGCAGGAGAGGCGCGTCTTTTGCTGTGGTCAACTCGAGGTCCAGGGTTTACAATGCTTTACTTTCGCCCGATCCAGGTGTTAGTAAGAAACAATAAAAGCCATACATAAAAACGGGAGGGAGCCTGCTAGTGGCCTGGCCTCTTCTCGGCACGTAGCAGCAGGCGCGCTTTTTAGAAGCCCCCTTAAGGCATTATCATCATCGTCATCACCTGGCAGGGACAGATACATTCAGGGACGCGTTTGCCTTTGTGACATTTGGATTAAGGCCGACAGGTCACGTTCTAAACATCGCCTTCAGGTGGAGGAGGGCTTGAAAGGGAGGCGTCTCTCCTCCTCCAGCCGCCTTTGGAAAGCCTGTCGTTTTCCTTTCAAACTCATTTCTCCCAACCCATTAGTTGCTTCATTTCGATACAATACAATACTGAGTATACAATAGAAAGGACACAAAGACTTATCATTTAAATAATCCTTCAGTAGGGAGACTCTGGGTTTATGTTTAAACTGCCCCATTCGCGACAGATCCATAACGATGCCTCAAGATATAGTCGTTTGTTCGTTTATTTAAGGAGTTAATGGGAATTGTGGACTGTAGGCCCAACACCTCTGGGAGATATCAGATGGGTGACAGTTACTTTAAATTCTTACATTGTTTTTTCTGCTTCCTTCTATCATTAATGGTAAGCACCCAAAACTCTGTGGGTTGCTTTGAGATTCGCCCTGTTTAAAGATAAGGATAAAAAAAAAAATCCTGAAGGCCTGAGGCTTTAAATACGTCTAGAGGATAAATATATTTAAATAGTGTTGTGGAAGAGGGCCAGAGTTCGTAAGAATCTTTGCTGTTTAATTTCCTTGTATTAGTACTTCAGTTAAAGTGCAATAACAGTATTTATTCCCATTCCATGTATAGTAATGCTGGTTTTGAACGTACAGTATGTTTGATGTCAGTGTAGTATAGAGTAATTTTTTGACAGCCTGCTTTTTAGTAGTTTGTCCATTTGGGAGACAGAAGGAGGAATAGCAGTCAGAATCTGCTCTGGTTTTTCAATATTGTTTGGATTTTAAACCATTCGCCTCCAGGTAGACAATCCCCATTTGAATTTGTAATTAATATTGTAATATTAAGTAAAGCTGCATTTTAGATATGTGTGAATAAGAGGAAGCAGCAGCAAAACTAAGGACCGATAGCTTCATGCTAAGCCATCACAGTGGCTGAGTTTGAAATATCAGCCCAGCCAAAACCCAGCAAGTCACACTCCTGCTTGTCTATGAATAAATCAATAAAATCCAATAGTTGCAGAAAATAATAAAACAAAAACATTTCATATAAAACCCTTAAGCAACATTTGCGCCCCGATCAAATTACAGTGATAAAAGCTCTAAATTTTACAAATATGTATTTATTTATAGTAGTTCTATATCAGGCCGGTCAAACTGGTGGCCCTTTTGCCGGATGTGACATGCGCAGACCACGCCCACCCCAGCTCCACAAAGGCAACATCACGATACATCACGATATGTCACATGAAACAATTGGGTTTGACACCTGTGTTCTGTACCATCAGTTCCTTCAAGGATTTCTGTTCACTTGGAAAAAATCTCAACATAAAAGATAAAACCCGTGAAGCATAAAACATAAGCATGCCCAAACCTGGCATTCAATAAGCAGACCTCAAAACATAAAAGCTGTGAATAACTCATTCTTAACCATCATCCAGAAAACTGGTTAGGAAGGATGTCATTCACATTCCCAGAGATAAGCTGTGTTACAAAATACAGGCATAAATAAGACATGATGCTGTAGCCCTCCCCTAACCTTAGAATGATTGAACGATAGACAAGACCTATTTTTTTTTTAATCTAAAGAAGATAGTCTTGAAAATACCTGGAACACCAGGTGAGAAAAGGTTTTATAGGTTAAAACCAGCACTTTTATAGTCAGCAGTCAAATAAAAGCCAAAGTAGCACGCACTAAATTGATGTTAAGTGGCAGAGATTACTATTGTCTTCTATCCCATTTGGGTGGTCTTCAAAGGCAGCTCCATCTACTGCAAGCTGCAGTAACTTGATCTGAAAGGTGATGGTTTGGGTAACCATTGCGAGGGTAATATGCTCTTTCAAGTCAGTGGGCATCAAAGAGGCATTGACTGTCTTCCAAATCTGTGCTCTCACACACACGCTTCATTTACTGAAGCAGCCAAGTGCAGCATGATTGCAACACACATGGCATGTTCATCCCACAGATCACTCAGCCTATTTCTTCGGTGACCAGAAGTCAAAATAAATGCAGATAATAATGCACAATGCTATCAGAGTAATCTTTAATGGCTTGGCCCCTGTGGCATCCAGGCCAGAGTACATTTTCATTCTCAAAACTACCATCCCCAAAACTCACTGCAACTCTTGAGAAGATCTTTCTGCAGCTTGCATTCCAAAGAGAGTACAGGTAGTCCTTGACCTGCCACAGTTCGCTTAGTGACCTTTGAAGTTACAACGGCACAGAAAAAAGTGAGTTAATGACCGTTTTTCACACTTAAGACCGCTGCAGCATCCTCATGGTCATGTGATTTACATTTGAATACTTGACAAGTAGTTCCTATTTATGACAGTTGCAGGATCCAGGGGTCATATGGTCTCCTTCTGAGACCTTCTGACAAGCAAAGTCAATGGGGACGCCAGATTCACTTAAAAACCATGTTACTAATTCCACAACTGCAGAGATTCACTTAACAAAAATGGCAAGAAAAGCCATAAAATTAGGCAAAACTCACTTAACAAATTTCTCACTTAACAACATAAATTTTGGCTCAATTGTGGTCATCAGTTGAGGACTACCTGTAGTTCACTCTAAAATAGGCCAGCTGGGATGCAGTTAACAGATTAATGGAGTTGGAAGGGACCTTGTAAGTCATCAAGTCCAACCCCCAAGAGGAGACCCCTACACCCATGATGGCGAACCTATGGCACGCGTGCCAGAAGTGGCACGCAGAGCCACTTCTGCCGGCATGCGAGAGGTCACCCAGAAGAGCCCCACTGTGCATGTGCATGTGCCGCCCGCCCACCAACTGATTGTCAGATATCTGGCGCTCATGCACAGGGGGCGGGGGGTGCAT